CAAGTACTTTGATGGAAAATCAGCATATCAGATGAGGAAACTACAGAGCTCATTAACTGCTGCTGAGTCATCTATGTATCCAGCTGCAATCTCTGGGCACACAAAATATAACTTCTTACCTAAAGGCTCAATCTAATGATGGGAGGTAGTCTAACTTTTTGGTCTGATTTGGTCGAGCACTTCTTGTAATCCTCATAAAACAAAAATACAATGGAGGCATTGAGAGATTAAAATCCAGGATCGTGCCAACTTCTGGAATAAAGACATGGTACACAATGAATAATTATTGGCATGGACCTGTGTGGCCAGATTCCCGTTGTGCCCGGCAGCATGAATTCAATAAAGAAATATTATTACTTTCTGGGCATCAGAGAATCAAATAAAATATACTTTAGGTTGATGATTCTCAAACTGTATAGAACTCTGTTTAAAAAATCATGTCTGTTTAGAATAGGGAAATAAGGATTAAACTAGATTTTTTGGATGCAACAGAATCAAGTCATGTGGAGGCAAGAATCCCAAGAACCAAGTATATTAATTCGATTTAAAGCAATCTGCAAACCTGGACATTTCATTTTCTGTCCAACTTCAACAGAAGACAGGGAATCCATCTAGAAGAAACAGGACCAAAACGTGATCCACAACATCATCCAACAATATTTACGTGGTATGCCAAGTTAGCTCTCTTCTCACAATTTTGGAATCTGGAGTACAGTTGTGTTTTATTTGCCTCAATTTACATGACCAGCTAATAGTTCACCAGAATCAGCAAAGGGAGTAGCCAAAGATCCATCCAGAATTCCTGAAAATGGCACTTGTTCTCTTACTAGTCTCACATATTCCTTTACCTTGTCCATCCTACTCTCCCTTCTCCCTCCAAACACCAAATTGCAACCCAATGAGGACTTATATTAGAGACTTCAGTAATATCTAACTATCAACATTCCAAAAGATGGAGAAAGCAAACCTTCGGTCTTCCCACTCCTGTTCTCTCACTGACAGAATAAAAGGTACTTGATCATGCTTCTCACTGAGGCACCATTGGCTAAAGTTAATCTTATTAATGGACATAACAATTGCAGCATTAGGTTCAGTGTCATTTTGGGACAAAAATCTGCTTAGTTATCATTTCCCCTTCCAAAGGAAACTGATATGTTCAACTAATACTGTGCTCCTGAAAATGGAATGCTTTTTGCTACATGTAAAGAGATGGAAAATCAGACCAATGATTCTCTTTATCCCATCCAATTAGGCACACAGAAGATAAGTGTACTCCTGCTCCCTGACAAAAAAGAATGGAATGGCACTGGAAACTTATATTTTCCAAAACACTGTTTCATTCATTAACCTCTGAGCAAAATTCTATGGAGAGAAAAAGGGTGTTAGAACACAATGAAGAAGGCTTATTTCTTCCAAAATATTCCATATGGTAACACGGGAAAAAAAAAGAGGGAGGGCCTTCCCATGCAAACAAGCACAGAATAGCAGTAATATAGTATACATCACTCTCTTCCTTTTTTCTTGCAGAGAGAAGACTTTTTCCAAGTAATTGATTCTAGGCTGAAACCCTATTTTAAAATTAAATGCAAATATTCTCAGGTTGCTAGATTTAGAAGCATTTAACAACTCATAACTTGGCATAGATCTGAAACCCTTTGTAATTAAACTGTGAAAAAGAACTCATAAAATGGAACCAAAAAAACCCACTTGCACAATTACTGTAAAGCGCATGATTTTTTTTTTTAACTTTTAACAGAATTAAAGAAGAAAAAGGACCTTGTGCTTTTATTTATTCAGAGCAGCCTTCCCCAATCTACTAGTTATACTATAAAGAGATTACGGGTTATGTGATTCAAAATATCTGGAAAATATTTGGGTTTGAGAATTACTGATTTAGATGAAAGGCCAGAAGTACATGTTACTCAATCAAGTCCAACACTACTCTTTACACAGGTATGAAACTAGAATCCCTGACAAGGGAGATATTGCTATCAGTTATGAGTAGAGAAAGCATCCTTCATCCCACACCAATCCCCTATCTTCCCATACCGTTTTGCCAAAAAAGCCAGGGTCAGGCACCCTTATGCCTTCCTGATGTTTTTGACTGTAATTCCATGTCACTGGCCATATCTGCTGGGGCTGATGGGACTGAAAACCAATACATCTGGAGGGATCAGGATGCCCAACTTCTGCAACTACAAAGTATGGACCAGTGGTTGAAAAAACAGTTTGGTCTCATAATATGACGTTTCAGCCTAATTATTTGCTTTTTGACCACAATGATCTTAGAATTAAGATCTTGTTCACGTCTGCATATTGTGCTCTTATAACACGGTACAGCCATTTGGATCAATTCATGGCAATTTTGCTTTTGGAGTTGTTGTTCCTCATATCAATGGCAAAACACCTGTAAGAGCCCAACCATGTTTGGTTATGTGGCCACTAATCACTATTCCGGTCTTGGTCATCTCTGTGTAGGATCAGTTATGTTCTAGATGATATAGGGTCATTGTTTTGGATCCCTCTAGATCTTCTGCCTTCTGATCATTTCATCCACTCCTTCCTTGAAGATGACTTTAGAAGAACCAGGATGCCAAAGTTTAAGATGTGGATGTTGGACCCTGACGTACTTATTCATGCCTTGCAAATACAGCGTAATTATCTTTTAAGAGGCTTTTGGGAATGATATGTTACCTGATTCTGTATTTATATTTGTTTGTTACTGCTGTTTGATTTTGTTATATTTCACTGTATTTGTATTATGGGACAATTAGACTGAAAGGCAAGCTATGAATTTAATAAATGAAACAAATAAAATAAAATAAAACCTTTCACAAGAGACATAAAATCAGTGCATGCATACACACTCCTGGCAACTGCATTCAAAATAGTCATTTATAAGCTATAAGGAATTATTTAGAATTAAGATTATGCAAGTTAAATTGAATTCTGCCTGGGGAGTCACACCTCAAGATTCCTACTACCTTCACCTGCAGGGGAAACAGCAATCTCTAAGAACACACATGGTTTGCGTGATTAACTCCAAGATTAAAACTGGTTGCTCTATTTAAGGGGGTGGGGAGAGAGTTAACCAATAGCTCAGAAGCTGCTAGGAATGTAAACACAGTTTAAGAGCACCATCTGTAAAAAAACAAAGCAAAAAGACAGATCTCGAGTTCAATTAGTCATATGACTGAACCATTGAAAACATAGTCAGGAGTGTAATTAGAAGCTCAATGGCTTATTTGAATCTAAGCTGCAGAATTCAGCAAGATTGAAAAGCATCAGTCACAAAAAGGTGCTCTACCATTGGAATGCCTGGAATGTCAAAAATTTCTACTGCTGCAGCATTAACAACTGTAATAGCACTAAATTGACCACCCAATCAAAACCTGAATGTAGGACTAGGGAGATCATACTCACTGCCTGGCTGGTGCAATCTGTCCCTCTCAATTTAATAAGCTTCAAGGATAAATTGGAAACACTGCCCCAAGTTCCTGCAGCAAAGGCAGGACAGAAGTGCCACAGAAGGGGGAAAAAAAGTCATTGTACTAGCACTAGGGTATCAGACATAGGCCTGATATAGGTCAAAGTTATCTAAATAGCCTCTAGTCTAAATCAAGACTTGGGCCATAATGTTCAGCCTGGGGCTCTGCACTTTGCTTTTTCACTGCATGGGGAATGCAGAGGACATGGCTGGTGACACACTGCATGGTATTAGCAAAGTGGGCGGGGCCAATCTGGTTTGGGGAGGTTTATGGGACAAAACCTATATACAGTGGAACCTCGGGTTACGAACGCTTCTGTTAACGAACTTTTCGGGATACGACCAGCTCTGGCCGCAAAATTTTGCTTCGGTTTGCGAACTCCGCCTTGGGGTACGAACAGGATACGCGGCAATTTTCCCTGCTGACACGCGGTCGTGGCTTCCTGTGGGCAAGATCGCGGTAGCAAGGAGACGTTCGGTGAGGCTTGTGGTGTGTTTCGTGGCGTTTTGGAAGGTTTTTGGTGTGCTTCTTAGCATGGCTCCAAAGAAACGGCAAGATCGCGGTAGCAAGGAGACGTTCGGTGAGGCTTGTGGTGTGTTTCGTGGCGTTTTGGAAGGTTTTTGGTGTGCTTCTTAGCATGGCTCCAAAGAAACGGCAAGATCGCGGTAGCAAGGAGACGTTCGGTGAGGCTTGTGGTGTGTTTCGTGGCGTTTTGGAAGGTTTTTGGTGTGCTTCTTAGCATGGCTCCAAAGAAACTGCAGAGCAGGCTTGGCAAGAATAAGACTTCGGGTTGCGACCAATTCGGGTCGCGACCAGAGTCATGGAATGAATTAAGTTCGTAACCCAAGGTACCACTGTACTGCTTATAAAATGAATTTTTTGCCCCAATGGGAAACATCTCCCAGTTTGGGGGGTGAGAGTTGGGGGAGATTAAATTGGCACCTTTTGCTACTGCTTATGGCATCCATTCTGGCCCTTTAAAAATCAGAAACCTAAAAAAAAACCCAAGTCCCTATTCGGGCAACCTGGGGGCTACATGCAGCCTGTGGATTTCCCGATCCTACTCCAGGTAAATAAAAACATTACTATAATAATACATAAAAGTAATATTTAAATGTAGCAATATTTTGTTATCTTGCCAGGCCTGAAACATGCATAAGGTTAGAACACACAACAAATTATATCTCAGCAATCTGCTTAAAATAACTCGTGGAGAAGGCCCTTGAGTTGGCAGTAACTCAGACAACAGAGGAGAAGGAGGATAGACAAAATCACCATCAGTCAATTGCAAAAGGCAGCTTTACTTGAAACAGCTTATGTTCTGTGACGATACCTTTAACACCGTCAAACAACATCTGCCTATCCCAGGTCCTTATAGGTGGATAAAAATGCCAAATCCAGTCTAAACATCTGGCTGACTTTGTGACCAATAATAATACAAATCAATTCCAGTCTCATCAGCTTCTCCTAGCAACTCAAAAAATGTATTAGGAAAAAAAAAATCAAACAAACCTGAGTCCATATGCCTGGAGCTCTTTCGAAGTCCATTCAGTCGCTTCTGTATAATTAAAGACATGCCAGTTACAGATTTTTTTAAAAAATAGACATAGTTCCTCTTTTCATGTAATTCCTGCCCAATCTGAGTACTGCACACCAGTGTTTCCTGCCCCAGATCTCCCAGTCTGATGCTGACCTGAGATTGTCTTCAATTCTGCTGACCTCAAAATGCTAAGAACATGCCCAGAATTCTATCAGCCAATTAATGTCATTTTGGCTGGCCAAAACGAACATGTAAAAAACATAGTTCAATCAGTATACAGTGGTACCTCGGTTCACGAACGCTTTTGTTCACTAACAATTTGGTTCATGAACAGCTCCGGTCGCAAAATTTTGCCTCCGTTCGCGAACTCCGCATCGGGTGACGAACAGGATCCGCGGCCATTTTCCCTCCCATGACACATGGTCACAGCTTCCTGTAGGGAGGGGGACTCTCTCTCCAAGCAGTAACCACCTCCCCACCCGTCTTCCTGTCCTCCACGCCAGAAGTCGCATTGAGCAAGGTTCTCTCTCTTCGTACTGTACTTTGTGTCATATTTTTGCCGTTTTAAAAAACAACAACATATGGTTCAGAACAGATTAACCATAATTACATTGAACCTTATGGGGAAGTTTGATTCGATTCACGACCAATTCAGTTTGCGACCAGAGTCGCGGAACGAATTAAGTTCGTGAACTGAGGTACCACTGTACTGTCTCCTGCTATAGCTGACTCATCATTTACCCCACTCCACAAAAAAACGAAATTTAAAAAAAAATGCTAGCACTCCCCACATTCACATTTTCAGTTCATGGTATTTTGGCCTGCAGAGGCAGCACTGATTCTCTTTGACAAAGTGTTTCCCGCTACAAGTGGGACAATTCATCTCACTGATGCAGAGTGGGAATATGATTTGCCTTACCAAGACACTCTACAAATGCAAGAAGTTGTAGGAGGCTGTGAAGAACAGCAAAGCAGAGTGAAATGAAGCAATGCAGCCATTTGCTTCACTCTTAGATGCAAGAGGAAATGATGCTTAAACAGTTTCAGGTGTGCTTTACTTTTATCTTTGTTGAAGTGAAACATCCCCCTGAAGGCCTGTACATGCCTAATGTTTTCTGCATTTAGTTGTTTACAAGAACTTCTCAGTGGCTGCAATGAGAAGAAGTGTCCTGGCTGCAAAGCTGTCATTTCTCCTACATTTAAAGCTACCTGCAACCTGTCAAAGTGAATGATACTGTTTGGACAATTTTGCAACCGAGTGGTTATCCCAGGGTTGCATATGGTGAAGTGTCTGGAGAGAAAAGATAAATTCTAAAGCAGTGTTTCTCAACCTTGGCAACTTTAAGATGTGTGGACTTCGACTCCCAGAATTCCCCAGCCAGCATTTCAAAGCAGTGGTTTTAGATTGTTTATGAATATTATCCATTCATATGTTTTTAACATTTTACTAATCAAAGCTGAGTATTAAAAGTTGCTCTGAAAACTTCTAACTAGGTGGTAGGAAAGATGTGCCTGAAACAGAATCCAAAGACTTTTGTACCAGCCCTACAATATTAGGATCCATATTGTAAAAATTATGCTGCCCATTCAAACCATCTGTTTCTGCCATCATTTATTTGCCTCCTCCATGGTACTACCTGAAGCAGTAGTACTTCATCCTAATGTGTGATAGTATTAGCCTTATCCTACAAGATCACACAAAAATATCAATTGTTTCTGAGCTGTATTTGTAAGCTATTATAGTTAATGTTTGAATATGTGTAAAAATTTTGAACAGCAATTACAAAGTTCACCTTCTATCAGAACATGTTTTCACCATATAAGAGGACTTAGCATATTAAAAGGTCACTGCAATATGAAGCAGTAATCATGTAGTTGGAGAGCAGGTGTTAGAAGGAACATGTGAAAAATATTTGGTTTTATGGGAGAGAACAGACACAATGAGCAACTGGCAATGTCTTGCCAAGGATAATATTTGGAGAAGAGAAAAACGATATTAAAAAAAACAGTATATCTATATGTTTGATAGTTTTTATGGAGAAGATAAAAGAAAAATAAAGGAAGTATCAATTATTCCATGTGGGTAACTTTCTTGCATGACCATGATTCCATCCAAAAAGTGTTTGATTTCCTAAAACACATAGAGCTTCCTCTTAAAAGCA